CGCCACCCGTGTCCTCCGGGGTGAGAAAAGCTTCTCCCGGTCTCCCTGGTCTGCTGGTCTCCCAGGCGGTGGCTTTGCTCGGGTGTCCCTGGTCTGCTGGGGGTTCCAGCAGCTTTGCTGGACCCCCCCAGCAGACCAGGGAGACCGGGAGAAGCTTTTCTCGCCCCGGAGGACACGGGTGGTGACCCGCCGCCCGTGAGCTCCGGGGCGAGAAAAGCCCCGTTCGTAAGTGCGGATCCGACATAAGTCGGATCCGCGTAAGTCGGGGACTGCCTGTAGGTGCATTTACATATACACAGAGAATTTACCAAGGTAACACAGTGCTGCAATCTGGTTGACATGCATAAATCCTGCAGGATTCATAGGAAATAAATGTTGGAAAATCTGGGATACACAAGATCTGCATATTAGTTTTGTCTGCTTAGGTCATCCTTGGTTTGAAAATGATGTAGTGAAATTTATTTTCTGTGTAGAAGGCACTATCAGAGAGGCAGCATTAAGGGGAAGAAGGAAAAACAAGAAGGGAGGAAGATGTGAAAATGGAATACAAAGCAGGAAGAGTGGATGGGCATTTAATCAATGTAGCGAGGGGGAAAGAGGGAAATGTTAATGAAAATATAGTCTGGGATTTTCAAAAGTGCCATGTGTTGGCCTCGCTCTGCTCCTATGGAAGTCCTATGAGAGTTTTACCTTCCATTTCAGTAAGAGCAGTGTTAGACCAATACCAAGTGTTTCTGAAAATCCCACTGGCTCAGTGTATTTCTGACAGTCACTTGTGCTCACCTATCTTTTAGAGAGTTTTACTGTCCCTAATATGGAGCAAATTTTACTTTTTGTCTAGAAATGCACATTTTTATCTGAATGATCCTTGGGGAAAAAAAACAGGTTAAATTCTAGATGAAAAAGCTTTGAAAACAAAAAAAGTTTTCAAGAGCTGCAAAATCTCAGACTCTACACATTTATCTATCCCTAATTGTAATAAAGACCGATATAATTCAAAGCCTGTTTTTTTTAAAGGACACTTTAAAAAACTACCCCCACTTTGTTGAAAGCATCTCTGAGATCACGTTAACTGTGGGGACCAGAAGATAGAACAGTTATTGGCTTTCTTTACAGTGCAGATGTTAAGTTTCAAAATCAATATGAAACACATTGCTTCTATTTATTAGTTATATATGTCCTCCCATAACGAAAATGAGTAATCTGAACCAAGGCTGGAGAGACTAACCCTGATTTTAATCTGGCATAATATGCTGTTTTAGATATTGTACTGCGCCATCCAACTTCATTCTTGACCTGGAACTAAAATATTTCTAAAATATGCCTAATAGCACAAGGCCTGATGCAGCTCCCAGTGAAGTCAATGACCATTTTTCTGTTAATGAGAGAGAATGGCTTAGCTGGTAAGGCATTGAACTGGGAATCAGGCTTCCTGGATCCTGTTCCAGGATCTGCCACTAACCTGCTGTGACCTTGGGCAAATTTTCCCCTCCTTTTCCTCTGCTGCTTCTCTTTGCATGCTTAGTTTGTATTTTTACACTATGAACACCTGGAGCGGGGACTGTCTGTTAAGTGCTTGTACAGATATTGTAACCCCAGGCAGGGTCTCTGAGAACCACTTTATTAAATTCATGAAAAATGTATGCAGATTTGCGTCCTACTCTTTGGAGAGAGTTACTACCAGAGCTGTCCCATCCATTGGATGGTTTGGGGTGCCCACTCCAGGCCCCATGCTTTTGGGGCCTGGATGCAGCTGCCCCAACCTGCAGGATTACCTGGTGCAGGACAGCCACAGGGGTCATCTTCTCCCCTCACTTTGGTGGCAAGAGCCAGAGCAGCCCAGCGGTCTGCTCTGCCTTGCCCTGCCTTGCTGCCCTCTCCTGGTCCACTGCACTCTGCTTCTCCATGGCAGTGGGAAGCAGAGCGCCCTGGCCCATGGCAGTCTGTCTCCCACTGCCATGGAGGAGCAGGGTGCAGCATGCTGGCAGGGCAGCACAGCAGGTTGGAACCGAGCAGGCTCCATCTCTTGTCAGCACAGTGTGGGGGCCAACCCCTGCTGCTGCCATGCAGGCCTCTGCAAATCCGCAAATTTACGGTGGTCAGGGGCAGGGGTGGGCTTCTGGAAGGGGCAGGGGTAGGGCCCAGGGTGGGGGGTTGCTCGGGGCCCATTGCTTAGGCCTCTGGAGGGGAAGTTGCCTTAGGCCCTATGCCCCTCTTGGGACAGCCCTGGTTACCACAACTCCTATGTAGGAACTAAAACCAGTAGGGGGTGACTACCAGTGGTACTGTAAACAACTTTGGAGAAGCACTAGCTCCTAGGATTTGCATATGCTGGTCCAGGCTGGATTTGTCATGGACAAAGCAACAAAGAGAGAATGTGGGGTATTTAAAGGGTGAGTTTAAACAAACTGAGCAAGCCAATGGAGGGGGATTGGAGGGGGATTCTTGAAGGATTGGAAGGGGAGCTGGCCCACTATGCTCCCCATGTGAAAGATGGGTGAATTCTGGTAGCTCAGTAAACCCTGGGGAAGTGTTAATGTTTTTTGTTTTCTTTGTGATGCTTTGCCCTAAGAATAAACATTCTGCTGAGAAAGAGCTGTATGTGACCTAGGGGTTGTGCAACCTTAAACCCTGGTCAGAAGGGAGTGGGGCATAGGTCCTCGCTCAAAGGCATGTCGTGGCTGGAGGCTCTAGATTTGATTGGGCATTCTTGGGAGGGGGATGCCATGGAGGTGAGGGGAGTACAGGAGCGGTTATCCTAAAAGCGTGGCACCTAGCCCAAAGGTGTGCCAGTAGTAGTAGTAGTTATTAATAATAGCCTCATTACTTTAAATATATTCTAGAAACAAATATGTAGCTATTAAAATATTGTATTTTAATTTCCCCATAAACTTAATTTTTATCATTACATGATCTCCGAATTGGTATCCTTTCTGCTCCCAGTAGTGGGGCAGGTAGCTGCATTTCAGGTTCTACCCTCATGTCCATCACCCAGACACTCAAAAAACCTTTCTAGCAGGGTGAGGATTCTGAGGACTTGGTCTATAGTTGCACCTTCCTGATCTGGCACCATTGGGACTTGACTGGTCCGGAATAAAGGAGTTTGCCAAACCAGGGAAAGTCAGTGCTGGCCCCTCTGCAGCTGGTATCCAGGCTTTTCCAGTGGCCCCAGTTCACATGATGATCTTCTCCCAGCCACCAACTCAGCTGTCTGCCCCGGGCTCTCCTACCAGGCTTATGGGCTTCCTGCTGCTGACTTGGCTGTGCTCCCAGCCCCTACACTCCTGTCCTCTGGCCTGATTCTGATGCCTGGTTCTGGTCTGGCTCCTGACCACTGACCCCTCTGTCAGGTCTCTCAGGTCCAGCAACATCAGTGGTCCTGCTGGATCATAGATATTGCTGGACCAGGTTCTCACATTAGAGAGGTACAACAGTATTTCAAATCATGGGGGGAAAAAAACCCTGCAGGAAAAAAATGTAACCACCAATTCCCACAACTTAAAAAAAAAAAAAAAAAAAGTTTAAGGCGATTTTTATGCACAGGAATGGAGCAATAAAAGTCATTTTCTCAATCTGTTTCTGCTGGGATTTTCAGAACAGCCCAGGAGAGTTAGGCACACAGATTTCACTAAAGTTCATTGGGATTTGAATGTTCAGTTCCCTTTAGCTCCTTTGAAAATCCTAGTTTGATTGGAATAGCGCCACAGGGCCCTGATCAGTTTCAGATCTCATGCTAGATGCTGCACAAGGAGAGTCAGAAGAGTCACTGCCCTGAAGTGCTTGCAATCTGTTCTGCTTCACAGTTCATTTTGAATGTCCTCAGCATTGTTCAAAATTATAATCCCAGCCCACACACTGTAGAGTAACTGATGTTTATCTTGAAGGTCAAGAATCCATTTTTTCAGCTCAGCAACAGTATCCAGTTTGTGTCCAACTTTTTCTTCTGTTGGGGAAGAGATAATTTCCAACTTCTGATGACTACATAATGGGCTGCTAACAACAAAGCATTAATCATCTTGAGTTTGTTACAAAACTGGCTAAACTTTAGCCACGTTCCAAAACTAACTATCCTGTTAAGGAAATGAATTGTATCCCTCAGTGTCCAACCAATGAGAGATCCCCTAATTTGGGTGTATTTAGAATTTTTACTGTAAACTTTGGCATGTCATTACCTCACCTGCTTCTTATTAGTAAATTACACCACTGTTGGAAGACATTCACCCCAGTTTTATGTAAACAGTTTACAAATAAAAAAGCATTAATAATTACATGGAAATCTAGTGCTTGAACACCATCTTGAGAACATGTCCCACATTGAATTCTATCCACATGTTCTGGAGTAACACTGATTTATCTGTTGGGCTACATCTAAACTGCAGCACTATTTCGGGATATGGGCAGTATCCCCAAATAGCTATTCTGCATCTTTTGAGCACGCCCATTATATCAAAATATAACGGGCTCATTATTCTGACATCCCTGTAAACTTCATTCCATAAGGAGTAAGGGATGTTTCAGAATAGCAGTTTATTTCAAAATAAGTAAGTGCTGTGTAGACATCAAAATAAGATACACAATTTGCATAGGTCTTATTTCGACCTAAAGTGCAGTGTAGATGCATTCTTGGAGAATAATAACCTTTGCCAGTGACAGGCACTTTGCGGCCCATCAGGGTTCTACGTGTGGCCCACAAAACATTTTGTTTACTGTGGCTCACAAGGAAGGTTGCCAGATTCCGCTGGCTTCTGCTCACATAGGTTTTTTTTCGCTTCCAGTATTACTAAAGTCAAATGCAGATTAAGCGAGGGCATGTGAAGTCAGGTGAGTGCTGATTGCACACAACATTGACCATGAGAGCCATGCACGTCCTCTGCATGCAATCAAAGAGCTGCTATGGTTCAGTCACCACACTCTAGACATTTTATATACGCAAGTAGAGTTAGCAAAACTACCCTCTCCTGGGAGACCATCTTGGTTGCAACAATCTTGTGGCCACTGAAATGGGAGGGGATCACTCATGCAGCCCACTAGCTAGCCCAGGTTGCCCATCGATGACCGCTGCCCTGCTACCTATACCTATCCCATATGATGTTCTTTCTCATTGTGAATTCAGTTCTAAAACATTCCCGGACCAAAACTCCCCTGTTTAGGCACATTATGAAATTTGACCTTAATCACTTTCAGCTTAAGAACAGCATCATATTATTATGGAAGAAAATTAAAAAGTATTTTGTTTGTTCAAAAATCAGTTTCATTTGGGACTGCAAAGTCTAATGTGCGTTAATCAGAATTGTGTTTAATGCAGAGTTTTGCTAAAGATTATTAAGATTATTATTAAGATTATTTGGGTTCACTAACTATGCATTTCCATACTTGAACAGGTTTGTATTTGTTCTAAACTTAACTCTAAATGTCCTGAGTTTATAATGCTTGTTCCGGGGATAATTACATTGTTCTTGTAATGTTTCTTATTCCAAATTATGGATTTTTCTCAACCTCAAGTTCATCTTAACATAGTTTTTGTCTAGAACTAAATCATAAGACTGGTGCAGTGTCTGCTTTCTAGTTCTACAATAAATGTTATATGCGGTGTAGAAGCTGGCTGCTCATCTGAACTCTGAAGAGTTGAAAATCTGGATTTCTTCTCTTCAGTTTGATTAGTATACATATATTAATTTCAACAACATATTACCATCCAGTTCAGTTATTAGGTAATATCACTGTAGATGTTTCTATTGGATACTTTCTTCCTAAACATTCTTGCTTAAAAATACAACTTTCCTGTAAAACTTGCATTTCAAATAGATAAAAGCTCAAATTTTATTCCAGGGAGTTTAACGCTCAGATGTATTTGATCTTTGTCTTTACATTAAATATAGTTATCCTGAAATAGATTCTTCTCATTCAGACTGACTCATCAGCCTTTGCAACAGAGTTCCTTGGTCGGAGGGGGACTCGACACTGTACCAACCCCAGCTTCTCACCCAAACCTTAACTCGGTACAGCTGCCTCAGGAACAGATGAGACAGAGACAACAGCAAATACGACAACAGCGACTCCTTCAGGTAGGACACTTGGTTGTGTCAATGAAAAGTGAATTGGGGGCCTTATTCTCTGAATCAGGTAGTGCATTAACCTGGATGTCCTGTGTCCTAGGAGAGTGCCTTAGCTGCCATGCTGTGTAGCCAGTCCCCTCCCTCCCCCCACCAACCCTAGTCCAGTGAATGTTTATGTTGTAAAGTTTGTTTGTACATACGTACAAAGTGAAAGAGCTCCAACAGGAGAGATTGAGAGACCCATCTCAGAATAATCAATACCCTGGTGATTTAGGGCCTTAGTCATTCATTCTGGAATTAGTTTCTCTCTCTCTCTCTCTCATTTAGAACAAAAATATCAACCTGGACCCAAGGAACAATCATCATTTTTCAACAAAACATTAATTTGTCAAAAGATGTGTGACAAGCTCTACTTTCAAAAGTGTTGCTTTTTTTGTCCTCTCCAGTAACCTTTCTTGCCTCAAGTTACTGGATAATTATCACACATAAAATACATACTTTTCAGTTATTACATTATTATTGTATTATGAAAATATGTGTATGGCAGAATTAAAGTTGGGTGGAAAAAGCCCACATCTACAATATTTTCCATATTCTGATTTGATGATATGCCCCATTTGGTAGTTAAATCTCAGTTTGGCAATTAAAAACTAAAACAGCATGCTGGGGTTGACCTAGAGGAAAAAGCACCACATATTTAAAATACTTTGTTTTTTGTGACTGATATAATTATTTTCATGTTTTCACTCTAATGCCATTAACAAATTTGGATAAACTTATGAGGGCTTATAGTTAACAACTGAATATACCAGACAGATGGGCTTTTAAATCTGTTTCTGCAATAATGTTTCTTTAATAGATATTATGAAAACTGTATTGTAAATATTCATTATTCATCATTTAAGATGTGGCTCTGTCTGTGCAAATGGAGAGAAAAGTAAGGTCTAGCTCCCAAATATTAGTCAGGAACACGCCTTCCTCAACCAACACTTAAAGCAGTGCACAAATCATAGCCTAGAAAGACAAATAGTGAAAAGCCAAATTCCATTATATGTGTCCCTGGAACAGCATATGCTTTCTCAACTAAAAAGGCTGCTGCTGTTGTTATTAATCATTTATATAATATAGTACATGTATACATATTATTATTGTTACCATAGCAATGTACTTTCAGTTGCAGCAGCAGGGTCAGCAGCCAGCCCTTGGTTTCCAAGCAGTGCAACCACAGCAGCCTTTGGTAAGCAGACATTTTTGTGTGGGTATGAGGGTACTTGTGGGGTAGATTTTATTAATCCTGAAAGTAAAGCAATTTAGGAGCAATGCCAGGAAGTGTTGTGGAAGCTTGCTCTAACTACTGTGCCATTGCATGCAGTGCTGATACTCATAACCCTGAAGTTCTATCCATGGCCCTTGCCAAATGGTGTGATGGGTTTTATGATGTGGCTAAGACAGGTTACCTAATGGCTATCTTTTCTTTTAAATGTAAAGACCAGATTTGAGCATGTGTTGTGAAGCAAAAGACTTGTGTATTGATCTTTTGCCCCCACCTGATCTGCTTAAAACTCCGTATTTTAATTTCTCTCTCAAAATTCTAGTTCTGGGACTGGAATACCAGTTACCCCTAGATGTCAGTGTTCAGTTATACTGAGAAAGTTGGAACTGCTCTTGCACTGGCTGACGGCACCAGCCCCCAGAGATTATCGAATAGTCATGTAACTGCTAAAATTTGATGCAGTTTTAGAACTATTCGATTACATACTTTCTAACATCCCTAGTTTTTAATAAATGTTGTTGGAACTTCCTCTGATTTCCTTCCACATGTAAAACCAGGTTGCTGAAAGGCCACATAATTTATTATGCAGATAGTGAAAATTTATAATCAATACATTTTTAAAACCTCTCAAATTCTTCTTTACATTCTGGACATTATAATGTCACTATTTCAATCTCTGGTATAATGGCAAGGGATGGTGTATAATTGGAAAACTGTGAATCTTTCCATTCTATTCCAGGGAGATTACACATTTATTAGCCTACAAGGAGTGAAGTATCTGAACTTAACCTTTACTGCAGCAGGAGTGAATGTTGACCATATATTCTATGCGTACTATGTGTTTTATAAATTTCCTCATGATATTGACTAATAAAGAGTTAACTTCACTGGCTATGTTTCAGTATTGCTAAAGGTTATCACCTTACATTTTTACATGGATTTTTGTTTAAAAACTTTTACAGGGAAACAGGATAACATACATGATTGAGACTGATGGTATACAATCCCATATGAACAATAGAATCTACTTTGGATTCTAAGGCACTTTATATTTTCCCTTGCCAATACAAATACATTTGTATTCTATTTACTTGATTTGTATGGGCTCTTCTGGTAGCAAATTTTAAATTGTAAAAATTCCACTATCATATTTAATCAAAAACTTGAGTTTATAGCTTAATGTCTACATATGTCTCTAGTACAGATAAATGGACTTGTATATCCCATAAAAGCTGTTTTCCTGATGCATTGCTAATGTGTGTTGAATGGTGTAAAATATAGTCACTCTGGTTCTTTTGTAAGCTTGTTGTCTGACATTGCAATGTGTATAAAAGAGGGTTTGTGGCTGACAGCTCTGGAATGTTGTTATTGTGTGCTTGTTGGGCAGCGCCAACAGGGTATGTCTAGACTTGCACCCTAGTTTGAACTAGGGATGCTAATGTAGGCGACCGAAATTGCTAATGAAGCGGGGATTTAAATATCCCTCATTTCATTAGCATGATCTCGCCGGCGCGTTACTCTGCTGAACAGCTGTTTGGAAAGTGAAAGTGCGCGCCGGGACACGTTAGTTCGAACCAAACCTCTTGGTTTAAACTAACGTTACGCCTCATTTTTTGAAACAGCTGTTCAGTGGAGTAAATCCCTGCTTCATTAGCAATTTCGGTCGCCTACATTTGCATCCCTAGTTCGAACTAGGGTGCAAGTGTAGACGTACTCAAACAGAGCAAAGGCATAGTGCTGGAGGTGTGTTGTAGCACTTCTTCTTTTTTAGGACTTGAACACATAGTAAGTCTGTAGAAATGCCTTTTATTGGTTGGTCTTTGAGCTAAATAAGCTGTGACAGGGCCTTGAGTTTGGCAGAGAAAGGATTAATCATTGTAGAGGCAGAATCACATAAGGTGGTGCAACATAGCAGGGCCAGCGTATCAATGAGGAAAGAACATATTAATAAGCCTACTGGCAGGTTTAATGTCACCCGGGAAGAGAACTGAGGCTGAAACTAAAAGAAAGCCAGGGTGGGAATTGCTCCTTGCCCCAGATTCAACATGGATGAAGTAAGCCAGAATCAAAACTGGTCTGGAACCATGGCTGAATTCAGTCTAGTATCACCAGGGCCTTCAATGCACAAGATCTTTTTTGTAGGTTTTTTGGTTTGGTTGGTTGTTTTTTTTTGTTTGTTTGGGTTTTTTTACACTGAACTATGCCTTCCAGCTGTTTGATGATGTGGGGGTCCATGCTTTATCAGCTTCGCTTCCTCTGGTTTGTCTCTCGCATTTAAAAAATGTTTTTGCAGATTGGCTAGAATGTTACTGATTTTTCCAGGTTAGGCTCAGTTATTAGAATGTGTCAATTTCTAAACGTTTAAGGTATGTATACTACATGCACATCAGTAATGGCAGCCCTAGTAAGGTATCGGGGGAGCATCATGGGCTCTGGTTTTTCTGTAGTACCACTTGCAGGCCAACCATGGCACTGCCAGTGCTCCCTTCCTCCTTTCTTTCTTCTTGGGTCTCCCTACGAAGGTCTGTGCTGGAGATGTGGTTTAGACCTCTGGTCAAGTCACAACAAACATAACCTCCTCTGGCCTAGTAAAAGTCCCAACAACCACAAGATTCTTCTGTTCTTTGGGGGTTTTCTTCAGCCTGCCCTGTAATGAGCATCTTTCAGTGCTATCTGTGTGAGTGTTTCTGTCTCCGGGATAGAGCTCTCAGCGCCCTGGCTGGTTCCACTGGAATACTGTTCTCAACCCCTTCTGGACTCTCCCTTGCATCCTTTCCTGCTCTGTATAGAGCAGTAGGCACCCAGGTTGGTTCCTGTGAAATATCCAGCTTCCTGTAGACCCTGACTCAGGATTTTCCATTCAAGCTTGCACACTCCCTGTCTGTGGTTCCATTCCCAGACTGCTATCTCTGGCCTTTTATAAGGCCTAGGTGTCCATTAAACTATTCTTTGACCCTCTTGGGCAAGGGTGGACAATAATTCTTGATGGGGAGACACTCCAAGATTTTGGTAAGTGGTCAAGAGCCACGCTTTTCTATGTAGGAGATGCAGCATCTGAGACAGAGGTTGGGTGCAGAAGAGAGGTTGGGGTAAGGGATTAGGGTGCAGGAGTGTGGGGTCTGAGAAGAAGTTTGGGTGAAGAGGAGGTTTTGACCTGGGGCAGAGGATTGAAGTGCAGGAACTGGGAGAGGGGTATGGGAACAAGAGAGTATTCTGGCCTGGGGCCCGTGGGGGGGGGCGGTGCGGTGGTGCAGGGTCTGGGAGGGAATTGTGGTGCCAGAAGCAGGCTCTGGCTGGGATGTGCTTACCTAGGTAACTCCCAGCCCAGTGGAACCCTGAGACAAGCTTCCTGACTGCCATAGCCCCACATAGCTCAAAGTGGCTGGCTGCTCCATGTGCCTTTTTGTGCCATGCACCAGAGGAGTTGAAGGGGACAGCGCACAAACCCACACCCCAGCAGAGAGCACAGAGACTACATGGAGCAGCCAGCTACTTTAGGTAGCTTGGAGCTTCTCCCTGCTTGAGGGTCAAAGGATTGAAAGTTTGGATCTGCCTTTTGAGCTGGATCTTGCTCCCCCCTCCCCGCTTTTGGGGGTCCCAAACCAAAGTTTGTAGAAAGCTTTTGAAGCCTCATTGCTTTTGGGTATCTAAAGTTAGATTGACATACACTAGAAAATATAATGTAAAGAAATCACCCTGTATGGGCTGACAGGGATCTGGCAGGGCTGAGATTGTTCATCTTTATTATATGACACTTTGCATTTGAGAAACATTTTTAAAAAAAAAATCACCATCCTCGTGGGAAATTAGTTCATTATTGGGAAATCTTCCTGATGAACTGGGCAATGAACTTTCATTTTTGTAATCTTGAAGGTGGACAGTGATGGCCGATGTGTTAAATTAAATATCAAGGATACTTGCAAATCCAGGGGGAAAATATGATGGAATCCTTTAACATGTTTTGTTGTTGGAATCTGGGCAGTGATCTTTTAAAAAAACAAAAAAACACTTAAACTCTGCCTGAAGATACTTTTACCCCTCTAAAATAAATACTGAGGTCTACTTTGGCCCTTCCTGTTGTGTCTCTTCAATTACTTTGTGTCTCAATCCTGCAATAAGATGAGCATTCTTTCCCTGCTCCTACACTGCACTTAAGTACATGCATAGTACTTAGCAGATGTGCTTAATTGCTGTGTAACATCATCTTCATCGTGCTTAGCTTTGTAGAACTGAGCTGTTAAAGAGCAATCAGCCAAATTCTGGTTCAGTCACACTGGTGTAATTCAGGAGACATTCTCTGGATTTATAGCAGTATAATTGAGAACAGAGTTTAATCCAGGGATTTACGGATAGACCAAGTCTATTACGCTGTATATTATACCCAGTGATAAATGTCTTTTAAAGTGATTTCTGAATTATGATTCTCTTTTCTGCCAGTATCCTAGGTTTTTTCTTGTTCTTATGTCTAAAATGTAGCAATTTATAATAAACCCTGACAATAATGCCATAATGAAAGAATTAAGATAGAAATACACCTTCCAGATATACAGTGAATATTCATGGTTTTGTTGTAATGTCTCCTTATGTGATTAAGGGGTTACAGATTTGGGTCCTTAGTCTTTGAAAAAACTGAAAGAGAAGCATCACTTTTAAAAAGAGATTTAACATAATGCAAACAGTGTAATTGTAATTCTTTAAAATTCATGTGCCATAGTAACCTCTTATTCTAACATGTAAGAATAAAATTCAGTTTTACCAATTGAAACTAATCAGAAAAACCTTTTGAAGTCAAATGTCTGTGTTGACCAAACCAGATACATGATGTGTATTTACTCATTTTTTTCCTATTCTGTAATTATTTACCTACTCAAGTTGCTATAAGCTTGTATAAGGAACATCTGGAGTTCGGAGCACATGTTATTCTTGTTCTAATTCAGCCGCACACGTGGAAGATCTATTTATCATCAGCTACCTACAGATAAAAGCTCTTAACAGAGAATAATTTTCTTAGAATGGCAGCCACAAGCTTAGAAAATAAAGTGGTGCTAGTCCCACTGTGTTAACACGGCCCCAGACTCCTGGGTAGAATTGCTAGGGAAGTAATGAATGTTGTTGGAATAGCGAATTTATGGCCAAATTCTGATTTCATGCCAATATTCATAGAGTAATGTCACTCCAGTCAATGAAAGACCATTGAAGTAATGGAGAGCAGAATTTAGCCCTTAAGATTTATCACTGGCCAGTGATCCATTGATGTAATTCCGCTTACTTGAAAGGACTTGCACCCGATTCTCCTTGGCATAAATGAGATCAGAATTGGGCTCCTTGTTGTTGTTTTATTTCATATGGGCAGAGCTGGTCTGATTCTGAAAAGTGCTGAGCATCCTCACTTCCCACTGAAGTCAAAGGGAATGAGGACACAGACACTGACAAGCAAGTGGTATGCAGAACCCTAGGGGCTCAGGCCATTTTGTGCTTATCTTTAATTTTGTCATAGTGGGGGAAAAAATCATTCTCCCTCCCCCACCAGTATCAGTTTTGATAGTGATTACACTTAGTCAAAACATAATACAGGTTGAACTTTTCTGGTTCAAGACACACTAGTTTGGTCTGGCAGGACCAGGGATGTTGCTGGACCAGTGAGCCCTGGTGGCTGGTAGTGGGAGCCAGCTGAGAGTCCGGTGGCCAGGAGGCCAGCAGCTGGGAGTCTGGCCAGGCCAGATCCAGTGGAGCTAACCAGCAGCTGGAGGTCGAGTGCGCAGCTGGGCCCGCAGCCAGGGGGCTGTCAGCTGAAAGCATGCTCTCCTATCACATCCTAGGGAGAAGCAAATGTTTCTTTTCAGTTTCTCTACATGTTAATTGTAAATAGAAAAGAAAACCTTCTGAATTACAGAAAATCACATAAACAACTGGCAACAAAAGCAACTAGACAGAGACATTACTGGAGGTTGGGCAGAGCTGGGCTGGCAGGTTGAGAATGCAGCTGGGCTGGGACTGGAGCCAGGTGCAGGGAGCCCATCCAGAGCTGTCAGTAGAGCCCATGGGCCAGGGCTGGATGCAGGGTTGGTGTCTCTGAGAGAGCCTGGGAGTAGGGAACTAGCAGCTAGGAGCAGGGGGGAATCCAGCAGCTGGAGGCTGGTGGCTCCCTGGGAAAGCCCAGAGGCTGGCAGCAGAGGGGCTGGCATTGACCTTCCCTGGTCTGGCAAAATCCCTCATTTGAAGTGGGTCAATTCCTAAGGGTGTCAGCCAAGGGAGGTCCAACGTGTAGTTACTTACAAATGATAAAAAGCTCTGTTGGTTTTGATCATATCAGCTTTGAACAGGACATGCAGTAAAATCACTTACTTTCCTGGATGAATGCCAGCCACTTCAAAGATAGGAATGAGGGATGGTCTGCAAAAGAAGACTGAATCTATGCCTTGTCTCTGCCGGGGTGCACCTGTAATATCCTATAAGCCAACATGAAATGTAGAAGGTTCCAGGGATGGAGGAAAGCACGTATTTCTTTATAGCCCTCACCACTCTTTGTTCTGTGTGTCTTCATTATATATTACCAAAATTTCTGTCGTCATCTATCTTCAGAAGTGTCTCCTTTGAGTTGATTTTGTTGTCAGTTACATATGTGATTTTCAAGAAGTATGGAGGTTTTCTTTTCTGTTTACAATTAGTACTTAGAGAAACTGAAAAGCAGCATTTGCTTCTTCCTAGGATGTGATCGGACAAAATGAGCAGTTTTGACTTCCAGAATTTGTGGAAAACAAATGTATGTATAATGCTCCCAAATTCACGTTCTGTCTCTTTCAGCAACAATAGATTTGGTGACAGCTGGGTCAATATAAACTCCAGAACGTCACTGCTACATTTTGCTTTGTTACATAGAATCTTCCCTCCTTGCCTGCTATTTTCTGTGCATGTTCAGAATCTCTGGTACTGGGTTGGCAGTGCCTCCAAGCATCTACACTGCAGCTGGGAGCGCACTTCCCAGCTTGGGCAGCCAGACAAGCAATAGTTCTGCTTAACATATCATGTTTAAAAAGGCAGAGTAGTGATGGATGGCAGAACAAGGAGCAATGGTCTCAAGTTACAGTGGGGGAGGTCTAGGTTGGATATTAGGAAAAACCCTAATAAAAAACCTAGGGGGGTGGTGAAGCACTGGAATGGGTTACCCAAGGAGGTGGTGGAATCTCCATCTCTAGAGGTGTTTAAGTCTCGGCTTGACAAAGCCCTGGCTGGGTTGATTTAGTTGGGATTGGTCCTGCCTTGGGCAGTGGTCTGAACTCAATGACCTCCTGAGGTCTCTTCCAGCCCTAGGATTTTATGATTCCAGTAGCTGGGAGTAGCATGAGTGGCTAGCTGCCTAAATATGTTCCAAGGTTTCCAGTGGATTTGTACTTGGGAACTTGTTCTTGCCTAGACTGCTATTTTAAGCTAACTAGCTCAAACGAACTACAAGTTTGTATCTCCCTATCCAGCATGTTCAGGACTTGACCAAAACGGAATTTGCTGGACCAAGTGAGGTCAGTGCTAGCCTCTCTACTGCCTCTGGCTCTGCTCCAGTGGCAGCAGAATGGCCAGCATTGACCAAAGGGGGGTATGCTCGGGGGAAAGGTGGGGCAGGCTGTGGAACCCTGTGGCCAGGGATGAGAAGCACAGCCCCGTGGGAGTGTACTGAACCCCACAGCTTCAAGGCTGCACTCCTGGCTGCTGGAGATGGGACTCCACAGCCACCCTGCTGCTTTCCCCTGTGCATCCTCACTGTCCCTGCTCCTGTCGCTCCCTCTCTGGGCTGGAGCATTGCAAATGAGCTAGTTTGCAGGGCTCCAGAAGCTCTGGAAGGGTTGGGGAGGAAATGTGAGCTCAGGGCTCCCAGCTTTCCCCTTTTGAGTGTTTCAACCAGGGAACACCTAGAGATGCCGGACAATGGATGTTGTGGGACATGGGAAGCCTGGTCTATAGAGATCCAACCTGTAGCATGTATACATAGAATCACAGAGACATAGAGCCCCCTGCTCTAGGCAGGACCAATCCCAACTAAATCAACCTGGCCGGGGCTTTGTCGAGCCGAGACTTAAACACCTCTAGGGAAGTAAGCTCCCAGCTGCAATGTAAGCATACCAATGACAGCAGTGGGTAGAGCCCTGCACATTCACTGCTATCCATGGCTTATTTTTGCAGATGTGGATACCAATTTTGTATCTGTGTAGGGCTCTGGCAGGGGGACACCAGAGATTTGGAGACTTAACTGAAAACTAAAGAGAAGATGGAGGAGAAAGTGGAGAGCATCTGAAAGAGTTGCTGGTGCATTCTTCTCCTCCCCCAGTGTCTACAGTAACAACAGGAGGTGCAGTTCCCTGGAGAGCCAGTATGATAGCAGTTTGGGAGGTTTATTCAGGCTATTGTACATGTTCAGTCCTGATGTTTATAACAAACTGCTTACTACTCGGGTCAGGGGTTGGTGAAGCAGGAAATCTAAGAAGGATTTCCTTTGTCCCCAGTTCATTAATACCGATGTATACCATGATACGTTAAATTCAGCATGCTAGTCCTTTGTTTATATGTATATAAAAATTTTAGTGTCTGCTTTCTCTGTGTTTTGAGGAAGGTCTATACCATGCTTCTTTGATAAGACATCAATGCATCATTCTGAATCGTATAAGCATTTATCATCTTCTCTGTTGTTACCGTTGCAGTTTCCAAGACAAGGTTTGCAGCAGACACAGCAGCAACAGCAGACGGCTGCTTTAGTCAGACAACTCCAAAAACAGCTCTCTAGTAAGTATACCCGTCTATAAAAGACATTTATTTCTCTGCAGTTTCTTTTGCATATTTGAAACAAGAAAATGTCAGTCATTGACACCTTCAGTTCTGGTCCCTAGTAAAAGGACAGTTGTGAGAACAAGGTAACTGCAAATCCTGAAGATCAGACTCTGCACATGACTCAGTACCAGCACAACCATTGATTCCCATAGGTCTGCATGGAAACACAGAAGTCCAAACTGAGTCGTTTGCAGGATTGGAACCTAATTGTGTGCCATCTGAGTTCCGTCAATGTTGTTTTCCCCTTTCATGTCCTATTTTCAATTGCCAGGGTAAATCAGGGACACCATTGCATTACATTTTGTTTCTTGTTTTTCTTGCACTCATTTTTGGTCATGTTTCAGACATTGTATTGACACATTTACTTAATTATTCAAAACAATCATCACTGTGTGCACATCAAGGCCTGTCTTGGATTTGTGTTCCCATTGTCCATGACTCCACTAAAGCCAAACTGCTGTAAGATAACCTTTGCCGGCTTATAGGCAGGTGGATCTCCACCATGGAGGTGGCACAGAATGAAGTTAATAGGATGTGAGACTACATTATCTTTCCTCTCAAATCTCCATGGGGAGGAGGTTGTGTGTGTCTGCACTCATCCTGCCCATGTGCATGGTGTGGTAAAAGAGTGTAGGATTTTTTCCTGGAAGCACTGAGAAGGAAAGCGAGAGAGGGGAAGCATGATCCACATGTGGATCAAGGAAATACAAGTGAGGAGTCCCTCCTTTTTTAATGAAAGATTAAATACCGCAGAAATTGATGAGAGTAGAAAGGAAGACAAGTGTTACAAAATAGTTGCTTTTTACTTTATCAGCTCAGGCCCATTTGTTTGCATGCAATTGTTATCTGAAAGGTCATTTTTAAGGGCCCATCTTGCAATCTTTGGGCAGGCAAAGCTCTCTTGGAATTTTGTTTGTGTGGATGTGCAGAATTGGGTCCTTAATTTGCAACTGTTCAGCACTGAGAGAAACTAATTTTGTGACTGAAATGCTCTGAGCCTTGCTTATTGTTTACTATGGTGATTTGAAATACAAAATTATAAATGAATTTTTTAAAGTGTATAGCGCACAACACACACAAACACTTTGCTTTTTTGTTTTTGTTTTTTGTTATTTAGGTAACCAGCCACAACAAGGAGTGAGCCAATACGGACACTCTTCACACTTCTGACTCTGGAAGGTGGGATCGAAATGTGTTATGTTTGCACTGAAGAAAACTCAAAATTCAATGCACTAGTTATTGCTAGGAAGCAAATTTTTAATTTTTTTCTTTAATTTTTTTCAATACGTATTTTTGTGTTGCAATTGATGTGAATATGTAACGAAGTGAAAGAGGCTTTTTTTTTTTTTTGCATTTAACTGGATTTAAATGTATGGATTTGTGGGCCTATTTGAAGAAAAGAGTCGTTGCAATGAATTTGGTGCTTTTTAGGTACTGTTACTTTAAAATAGGATGAAAATGTTGGATTTATTTATTTGTGGGAAACATTTTTCTTTTTTTAAGAACTTCACTGGACCAAACTACTGATTTGAAAGGCACTTCCAATTTTGGCATAAAGATTGATTTGTTTATTTAAAGTACTCTCTTTAGTTCAACAGTAAAATGAGCATTGATTTAAATCATTAATTTTGATTGTTTGTAATTTTATTAAGCACTTTATAAAGTTATTTGTTTAAAAGTACCCAATTTTCTCTCGCTTTCATTGTGGAAAGAAGGTGCTGAAGTGGGTTTCTTGCTTGTATTAGAGCTTCCGAAGGTTTATATATAAAAGCCACAATGTAACATTAATAAACCTACTAGAAGTAGCCATGCTTCACATTTTCTTTTTAGTGCAAAGTTCACTGGCAGTGAACCTTGTGAGGGTACAAAATGTAGTAACAAAGGCCTGAATAGTCACAACAGATTTTGCTCTAAATCATTTAGGGCCTGAAACAAGGCCTGCTGCACTCTGATGGGAATCTTTCCATTGATTTCAATGTGAACTGGATCTCATGTGCTAGATTTAATAAAAGTCTCCTTCCAGTTTTTGCCCTTTGGAAGCTTGTGCCAGGGTACAAAGTCCCTCCTCTCCCCACCCTGGAAAAAAAATCCCTTTTGCTGTTTTTACTGTGCTCTCTCTGGGCCTTGCATCTATTGAACTTGCTCTAAATGAGTTCTTCCTCTAATAGATGTATTTATTTTGTATGGTAAGTACTTAAATATTTTATTTTGATTTGAATGTTGAGAGATAGTTTTGATTGTGTAATACATACTGCATTTATAAATGTGTTGCAAAAGCACAAGTTATACATTAAATGTATTATAAAGAAAACTATTTTAACATTTTTTTCAGGTATGTGGTATATTTGCTCATAGAGTAAAAGAAAAGATTCAGATAAATTTATTATTGGTTAAGAGTTATTCCATATGATAGTTTTTTGGAATTAGACGCACACATTTTGAATGTGAATCATCCAGGGCATTTCAAAATACATGGGAATTTTGTTCTCAAATTCTGTATTAACTCATCTTTTCATTTGCCATAATATAATTGTACTGTATGGTATCATAATCAGACTTGCATTCAATAGAAGATTCAACACTCAGCAAGCACTTTAGAACTCTGACAGCACAGGTAATTAAACTTATCATAACAGTTAATGTGGAAAATACAAATTATTGATGATACGATCTAATTCTGACTTTCACACTACAAAGTCTTACCAGTGCAAGCAACCTGTAGGATGGGTCGGCATCTTTACTGAAATAAAATTCTTGTGAACTGCTTTGTATACTGTGAAAATTATTTAGCTCAAAAGTCCTTTACCATCTCAGTTGGTATGGACCCTTATCAAAACAGAAAGACCACTCATTCCACAAATGAATAGGTTGTCTGTTTTGAAAAGTTAATGTGCATCTGTACTTTCATTTTCTGGTTTTTGGTACATTAGATATTTCAATAAATAAATAAAAGACTGATGCAAATCAATGTCCCTTTCCTTTCAAGTGACTACTTATAACTGAAATAGTATCCTCCCCAGAAAAGCAGACTTAAGACCAGTTTCTGTTCCTCGGCCACATTTATACAACACCATTGACAGCAGAGGGGAATTGTGGTTTCAGCTGAGGGCAAAACTGGGAGTGCATGTCTACCTAATACAATTTGCTTGTTTACAAAGTAATGGTATTGAAAGTGTCAGAAGCAAGATCCAATTTTAACCTTAATTTTGCTACATTAAACAAAAATAATCTAGAGTATTGTATAATCAACTTTCAATGGGACCAGGGTCCTAATCAGCAGAAGTATTCAAAGCAGACTATGGGTACCTCTAGACAGAGCCGGCTTTAGGAAGTGCTGGGCCCAATTTGAACAATTTCGACAGGGCCCGGCAGCAATTTTGGTTAAGCAAAATATAAAATTTAAAAAAGAAACAGCACACATGCCACACATGTTGCATAAATTGCAAGGTTTCGTCCCCTTGGAGGCTAGTCTGATTTACCCCAAGAAGAGAGTCACACTTTCAGGCTGGGTCCAACTCAAGTTTATTGGTTGCAACCACGGTACGGCTAAGGAACTCAATGTTCAAATCAGAGCCGACGACCAACATCTCATAGGTAGGGGTTTTTATAGGGTTCACATCTTTCCTGGTTTAGGTGCCTTAACATGATGACCCCTGCTACCAAGCCTCTGGAGGCAACACGCTCTGGGCAAGAAGGACACATGACCAGAAGTAAAAGGTGTCATGTCACCCCTCTTGAAGGACTTTTCCCACCATCCTCCTACCAATAGGGATTAGTTTGGCCCCCACCAAGCCACCCTCATGCAACTATCCTGCAATTGCATTAACCCAATGTGTGTGAAAGGGGGCAGAGAGGCTGGGGGAAGTGTTCCCTCTAAGGCTATGTCTACACTCGCGGCTTCTTGCGCAAGTATAGGCGTTCTTGCGCAAGAACCCACAGAGCATCCACACTGCCCATCTGCTCTTGCTCAAGGAAATTTACAGTATGGCTTGGTAAGAGAGGGTATCTTGGGCAAGAGCTATGCTCTTTTCTAACAAGTGTAAGCTTTCTTGCGCAAGAGGGCAGTGTAGATGCTCGGCAGGGATTTCTTGTGCAAGAAACCTCTATGGCTAAAATGGCCATTGGAGCTTTCTTGCTCAAGAAAGCGTCCACACTGCTATAGATGCTCTTGCGCAAAAGGACAGCTTGCACATGGCAGTGTGGACGTGTTCTTGGGCAAGACTTCTTGCACACGAATCCTTGCGCAAGATATTCTTGCACAAGAAGCCGCCAGTGTAGACATAGCCTAAGAGTTTCCTCCCATGAGCAGAATGGATTTTGTGTTGTGCACCTGTACTGAGTTCATGTGGCTTGTTTGGATGTGCCACTGTGGCACCCAAATTATTAATAAATATTTTATAAACCT